CGGCGCGGCGCGGCGCTCAAGTTATTTCCATCTTGCGTGCGTTTATTCCGGTGGAATGGAATCCATATTTGCTGCGCGGAGTTCCATCGACTTTTTTCTCCGGTTTTCGGCGAACCCCTTGGGATCGCGATTCCGCTGAAATTCGCCGGGCAGACCTTCATTTCGAATCGTTCGAATAAATATGAAAATAATTCGCGATCTCCCGGTCGCGAATTTACGGATCATTTTTTCGGCGCAGGTTTTGCTCTTTAAACTCACACTTTTTGGAAATTATAATGTATTAACTAATAATATGTAACTAATGTTAATATAATATAATAGCTAATAATATATAACTAATGTTAATATAATATAATAACTAATAATATATAACTAATGTTAATATAATGTTGTTGCTATATTTAATAATTATTATATTTATTATTATTATTATATGTATATTGAATAATAATTATAAATGAAAAAATGCGGTGACTTTGATAATAATACAATAATTTACATTATTACCAAAGTCACCGTATTTTTTCAAATCAAACTCAGCATTTTTCAAATGAAAATTCGCCCCTTTGTGCGCCCCTTCGTGCTGCCCTTTGAATTAGATTTACGTTTTCGCGAAGCAAATGCGATAGAACCCTTTTACTCTATTTATTAATATCGATAGAAAAATTCACTCGAAATTAACAAAAACTATCCGAAAGTCCAATCAACTCGAAACAACAATTTTTTAACCTCGTTCGATGAAATCTTTCGCGCGCCGTATCGATCGACTGTCCAACACGTTCGAACGCAATGATCAAACGATTCTCCGCCGGATCTGTGACGTGTGTCGCGTCGCACACGCGTCTCACCGACTCGATCATTTCGAAAAAAAAGAAGAAAAAAAGTAGTGATACGACCGCGTCGGCCTTACGGAGAATTAAAAATGATCGCCCGGGGGCTCGATTACCGGTCCGTTGTTCCGTTCGCAATTCGCGGCCCGCGATTCACGATGCCGCGACAAAGGCTGCAAAAGACTGCAATCTTCGAATGGTACGAGGAGAAGATCGTTGTTCACAGAAACGCGGAATGGAAATGGATTGAAACGTTAATTCTGATCCGGGGCACGAGTTGGATCGTAAATCGTGCGGTGGGTCGTCTTAGGGAACCGCGAAGTGACTATACAGGGTGTCCCAGGTTTTAATGTTCAAACTTTGTTAGTGTATTCTATGGCACAAAGTAAGAAAAGAATGTGATGGAAATGTGAAAACGTAAATGTCGTTTCTCGGCGTAGAAAAATATTCGCGTGAACCATAATGCATCGGAACAGCGTCCGTAAAGTGGTAAAGTGAAAGATACCACGTTTCGCCTATTTAGGAGATCGTACATACTCACGACGTTGTGATTATCCGTCCGGTAAAGGATTTTGACCGTGACAATACCGAACATGGAAGGGCAGTGTGTCGTGCCAAAAGACCGGGCCGGAAGTGCCGTCTGGCGCGATGGCTTTTCGCTCCACTGATTTCCTGTTTCTTCGGGGTCTTCGTTTTTCTTCGGAGCGTTCTGCGGCGACGCACGTACGGGCGTACGTGTATGTACGTATACGCCGCATCTACGTTCTCTGCGCTGCATCTCCGTTCGCTGCGCCGCCGCATCTCCGTTTTCTGTGCTGCATATCCGTTCTCTGCGCCGCATATCCGTTTGCCCCGCCGCCGCATCTCCGTTCGCTGCGCCGCATTTCCGTTCTCTGTGCCGCATCTCCGTCCTCTGCGCCGCATATCCGTTCTCTGCGCCGCATCTCGACTTATAATAATTGTAATATAATGTAAATAATAATTATATATTATAACATAATAATTATATATAATACACTATAAATAATGATTTTATATTATAATATAATATAATAATTAATGTTCTTCAATTATTATACATTATTATTATTGTTCCAAAGGAACATTATGTCAAAATACATACTAATAAAATTGAATTGAACAAATTTCTTCTTCCTGCTGTACGAACGCTTTCGAGGGCAACTGTAGTTAAAAAAAATGGCTATTCTTTCAAGATATTTCAGTGCAAATTTCATTGAAATTTACTAAAATAGTTCAAAAGTTATAACAACGTGTTGCATGATTTTCCAATCCAGAAAAATCCGGCACCAACTGTTGTAGCCGGTAAGTTTTATTTCGCAGTCGATAATCACGTCGTCTCCTTACACGTGTAACACAAACGGATTATCCTATCTGCGGCCGCAGCCTGGGCAAAATCAACGACGGTTGGTCGGTGTTGTATACATACGCAGTAAACGCGTCGCGCGAGGAATTCGTAATCGTAGCCCCATCCACGATGGTTCGTTCGGGCGGCTATGAAATCGAATTTATCCTCGATTTGATAAACGACGTCCGGTTTTCACGGAGGCTCGCCGCGTTCCGGTTAATTGAATTTAAGAGGATACACACTAGGTGGCCAAGAATTCTCTCTTGTTCTTCTCGAACGAGCTGGTTCACGGTTTAAAACATATAGGATAATATATATAATAATTATACAATATATGTATAATACGTATATACAAGGTGTCCCAGAATTGTGGTATTTTCGGGACATAAGGGGTTCTCGAGATCATTCGAAGCAACTTTTTCCTTAGCGAAAATGTTCTACGAGGCTTCGTTCACGAGTTATTAACGAAAAACATGGACCAATCGAAGAGCGAGTGCGGTCGGCGCTCCGCCCTTGCGACCGATGCCGCGTCGCGCCGGCCATCCGATGCAGCGACAGCGATCGCGGGGGCGTGGCGTCAGACGTACGCGATCTCTCATCGGTCCAGTGTTTTTCGTTCATAACTCGTAAACGAGGCGTCGTAGAACATTTTTATAAAGGAAAAAGTTGCTGCAAATAACCCCAGGAACCCCTAATTTCCCGGAAATACCATAATTTTGGGACACCCTGTATATAATAATATTAATAATAATATAATACATAAAAATCGAGTTTTTGTAAGGTTTTAGACCAGGACACCCGCTTAATTATTTCGAGAAATTGGAAGTGACAAGTCAGTAACAAATTTTTCGAAATTTTTTCAAAACGAACACCCCGTACAGTATCAGCAAGAAGAAAAGTTTCTATCGGCAAAAGTGCCGTCCACGGAATCCTACCGATTCATTCCGAATATTCGCGCAATTCCGTGCAAGACCACAAAACTCGCATTCTACGCGGTGCTGCACACTATTGTACCACGAAATAATCGAAGGTGAGCATACGCAAACGAACACAACCCGTTCTGCGATCGGAAATCGAACTTTTATTCGTCGAACACGAAAACATAAATTGAACAATCTTTCCAGCGGAAACTCCCGGCGTGACCGCGCCGAGGTACATTCGCGACGCGTGACACATTCGATCGGTTAGGTTAGGTTAGGTCGTCGCCGCGTAAACGTAACGCTCGGCGACGCTATCTCCCGGACTACATACACACTCTCGACGATCGAAGCGTTTCGAAAGCGATCGCGCACATGGCCGCGAGACCGCGAGATTATTGTCGGAGCCTCGTCCGATTTTTTTTACTGGCCGCGGAGCTGCAGCCGGTTACAAAGCGCAGGAGAGAAGTCGTCGTGACGAACGCACGCGTGGTCGCGCGTATTTAACTGCGACCCTCCGTCGTCGACTTGTGCGCTGGCCAGACCTAACCAAAGAGAGGCCAATTTGCATACAGAGAGCGCAATGAATTCACGACTTTGCGGCCCCGCGACTTTTCAGGCCTCCGCCGTGCAAATATGTTGCGAATTCTATCGATGCTCGCGTGGCGCTCTATTCGATATAAAATCGATTCTTTTTGCATTCGACGAAAATACGTGCAGGCCGTTGACGAAAAATATTGTGGATTTTAACGGTGAGTTTATGACACTAGTTAATATTATTAATTAAATTTAATAATATTATTATTTAATATTATTAATAATATTTATTAATATTATTATCTTAATAATAGATTTCAAATTTGGAAAGATATAACGACAGAAATGAGAACGTTGATTTTTATCGATTTATATTGTTAATTGATAAGAGTGTATGCTCATTTATTATTTATTACGAATCGAATAAATAACTCATAAATATGAATAATCGTGAACTAAAAAATAATAATGTGAGTTAATAAATTCGATTGATAAATAATCGTGTCCCATATCGTAACTAGTCCTCTTCGCAACACATTGAATTTCCACACTTCGTAGACGCTACTAAATAGAGTTCCAATAATAGAAGTTACAAATTACAAACGTCACGAACATGCAAATGAAACGTGCTGCCAGAAGCTGGCACGACCTTGAGACATCGATAAAGGAGAGAGGAACGAAGAAAGAAAAGCGAGGGGAAGGAGAATGACAAAATTGTCTCTTC